AATGGTGCCTGGCAATTTACACGCTGAACAGTCTTATTCAGGCGTTGGTAAAGTTGTGAGTCTAGAAGGCAGCGTAGCCACCTGAGTTATTATAAGCAGTGGGTAATAGAGTTGTAATATAATGCAATGTATGAGATATGTTCTGGAGCTCAAACAGAGATAATAGTAACCTGTTCTACTTTAACCGTGAAAAGATGCTTATTTACATCCAAATCTCATTTAAAGTATGCGAATTCTTATTTTCTCACCTCCAAGTGTGCGAATAGTTGTTCGCTCACTTGCAAGTGAGCGAATAGTTATTCGCTCACCTGCAAGTGTGCGAATGGTTATTCGCTCACCTGCAAGTGAGCGAATCTATTCGCTCACCTGCAAGTGAGCGACATTCGTACACTTGGATTTCCAGAGCAGAGAGCGATGCGCCAGACGTAATCGTTTGCCGTGCAAAGTGCTTCTACGAGACTAGAAAGTGATCTTTTCCGCACACGGCTCTCTTCGGCATTAATTGATGGTGCAAAAACCACACCTTTGCCACATACTTGCGCCACACACACACACGCGCGCGCGCGTGCGTTCGGCCGGCTTCATTTTGATCGTTCTGTTGCAATTGTGGCAAATTGCTTGCGTTTAAAGGCTTTTCGGCCATTACTCGACCATTACCAGGGCGACACTCGGGATGAAGAGAGCCGCAGCAAACAAGGGAGGCTCAGTGGACAGGGCAGGTCTGGGCGGGGGCCCGCAGGCTGCTAATGACAGGCACCGCAGATACTTGCAAAAAGCAAAACAAAAAGAGGAGAGAAAACAAAAAGGGGAGGTCAAACGCATTTCAAGATATTTGTTTTTACTGAAAGTTGCTTTGGTTCAGACAAATTGGTGTTCACATTACTTTCTAAGCTCATTCTAAGGCATCACGACTACGCCAAGACAAAAGCCCCCTTTCCCCCTCTATATAACTCACATGCGAGGACCTATCTCGCATTACCGATAATGGCATGACGGCAAACACATTTGAGCACAAGTTGCACGGCCCACGGTCCGAAATTAAGATGCAGATTGCCCCCCACCCCCTCACTTTGAATACATGCACTTGCATAAAGAAAGCTATTGAGGCATGCGATGTGGTTGTTGTCGGCCGGCGCACGACATCCGGGCGGCGTCAGGGGTCGGGGCGGCGTCTGAATGCATACTAGGCGGGGCGCGAGCCCTCAAGTGCGAAATGGGATACCGAAACGATGTCGAGATAAGGCGTCGAACTTGTGACGATACCGCCATCACATTGGTTGCTATTTTACCCTATTTTTCCTCGAGCTGGGGAGTAAGAGCAAATAGAGGGGTTGACATTTGACAACCTGCTCCTGTGCGCAATTTTGTCCCAAAAAGGTTTAACCAGTTTACACCACTACCCTTTTCGACCAAGCCAAGCCCCGCGTATTCCTCTATGGCACGCGATGCTACTCCACTCTGGAAACCCAAGTGTGCGCTTAAATGCAGTATCATCTGCACACCTACATGTATGCAGGACGTGGTGTGTACTTGGTCAAGTACACACTAATACCTCCATACAATTTGACATGTTCTGTTCAGTTATCAGTGTAACTGGAAAAGGTATGAAGTCTCTTGTCAATTTTCGTTGTCATGTCTGCAGACCTGAAAGATAGATTTTGTATGTATGTACATAATTATTCATACATAATATTTTGGAATGTGTATTTTTACGAAAATGCACGACTAAACCGTTTTTATTTTAACATTTGTTTTGTAACAAATGCTAGAGGGGCAATAACTCCCTCTTGACGTGTACACATGATTCCCGAAATACTTGATTTCAAGTGGTTCCCGTCCGCTTACATTCATTTCTTAGTTTTTTAGTGGTAGAAAACGTTTATTTCGATTAATTTGTATGAGTTCCCGCTCAGTTTAAGCGATTTTTGTTGATTTCGATTAGTTTTTATCACGATATTCTCAGGCAGGTGTGCACATGATTCCCGGAGTTATTGCCCTCTCGCAAATGCTCCATGACAAACTTTTTGCAAGTTATTTGAAATGGTAGACCACGTTTAGTAATATAGCGAAAAACTTTAGTAATCCTATTTTCTTGATAAGTTACTGCAGCACAAAAGTAGTTCCTATGCAAATTTTCACGTAGAAAGTCTTAAGTGGTGCACTCCATTTGAAGCATTGTTCTGTAGAATTAGTAGGGAAACGTCAGAAGAAAGTAACTACACGTCATTACTTAGAAGTCTTCCACACCTGTCTGATAACACAATCACAGCGTTTGTGGTACTTGAACTTGGACCAGAATGAGGCTAGACCTAGTGAACTAGGAACGGTATAAAACCATCACCCTGGCTGCGCTTGTTTTACAGGGCACAGTGCAGCAATTCACTACGCGTTCACCAGTTCACCATGAAGTCCTTGCTGTGTGTTGTACTAGTGCTGGGATGCATTGCATCTTTACAGGTAGGATAAATGTGTCTGATTTCAAGACGTACCCTGGTGAGTGGCATTGTCAGAGCAATTGTTCACAGAGCGCCTTTAGACCAAAATCGCAAACCAGAAATATTAGTATATTTAAACAGTGTGTCAACTGTGTCAATATCTTATCGGGTGCAACCCAAGTCACGCAACTGCAAACTATATGGCCTCCCTCCTTTGCACGCAAATATTTTGGGGTTCCTTTTGGAAGCCAAATTTTGCCACCTGCAAATGTTAAGCGAGAACAAAAGAAGGGTTACACCCAAGTACTGTTTTAAAATTTCCGGATTTTGCGATTTTTTTGGCTAATTTTTGCTTGTGTTGCTTAACGAATTGCTTCGTAAAATCCAAAGCCCTAACATAAAAGTTTGAAGTTTTTGTATAAAAAATAATGAAAGCCGAGATTTCTTTGATGTTAAAAAGTACTTAATTTCGAACAGTTATACAGATCTTAGTTATACGACAGGATGGTGTAACATAGAACATCTTTGTGATGTCATGCTCGTTCTGAAACGGTAAACGAATCGTCTTCTATATACTGCAAAATGCTAACGAACTAAATGTTTTTCAACGCTACGAACTATTTTAACTTTTGTATTGCGAAGGCATTGTTTGTATGGCAAAGCGATTCTTTTTAATGATAGGAAGTTTCTCACGAACAATCGGTTTGCATCATGAACAGTTTGTTCAAAGAATTAGTTCCAGGAGTGCATTGAGAACCTGGTCTTCGTTAGCAATTTGAAGTGTGTTTTCGACCGTTTACTCAAATGAGAATCCAAATTGTTTACCTGAATTGATCTTTACGAAAGTTATTCGTAACTTTAACCGCAAAAGAAAATAACTGACTGTATTTTCGTATTTTTTCCCTTGCTAAACATTTTGTAACATTTTTTCGTGAAGTCACAAACACTTTTGAAAGTGCGGTAACGGCAGCAACCAAATTTTTGGGACACCACCTGCACACGTGTCTTTCTGATTTTGCAGGCCGCGGCAGCGTCGCAGCGCGATACCTTTGGGCTTGTTCACCAAGATTCGTCGATCGCGAAATGCATCGGTCTTTTGAGCACAGACGTTGTTGAGGGGCTGAAGGCCGTGGCCAGCCTTGTCAAATACGCCTTGGCTATCCCCGTGGTCGGCGTCATCGCCGGACCCATCATCGGCATCGCTGGTCTCGCCATCTTACCCTTTAAACTCTTCCAAGCCTTGGTCGCCTGCGTCCAAGAAATCAACTAATGAAACTCAAAACGAGGACCAACAACGTATTGTGAAAATTGTCAACACAACGAAAATGATTAGAAATTAAATGATATGTCTCTCAGTCTTTCATGGATTTGAGCACCAACTCTAACAGGCGAGGCATCACTAATCAAAACTAATTCTTTTGAAGGATCGTAGACTGCCAAAGCTTTACTCTTCAACTTCATTTCCTTACTAAGTTCAAAAAGCTTTCTCATATCTCTCATTCCAGGCCCACACAGCATCTTTGGCAAGTAAATCACATAATGGTTTGAACATTTTACTAGCTTTTGGCAGGATTTTTCCATAGAAATTTATCATTCCCACATAAGTTTGCACTTCTGAAGGATTCTTCAGAACAGCACAGTTTACGATGGCAGTCACTTTCTTCTTAGATGGCTTGTAAATGTTGTGGCCCAGTACATAGCCAAAAATCTCAATGTCAGTTTGATGCAGCTTCATTAATTCATACCTCACTCTTACTTTATGCTTCTCTAATCTGCTCAAAGCTTAATGCAAATTTCTTCTACAATCTTCAATGGTTTCTCCTCCAATGATGATGTCGTCAATTTAAGCTTCGGTTCTCTTTAAATCACCCAATACTTGATCTTTCGCGGATTCGAAACAGGCACTGGCTAAAGCATATGGCAGTCTTGTTGGTTTCAGTAGTCCAATGCAGGTATTCCGCACCAAAATTTCTTGAGACTTCTCATCTAGTTTCAATTGCATGAAAGCATCAGCACAACCTAACAAACAATAATATTTGCATCCTCTCATTGCATTGAATATACCCACTGGCACTGGAAAGGGGTAATGGTCCACAATACAAGGGTTGACAGTTCTCTTGTAATCGTGAACAACTTTAATTTCTGACCTGTGTGGCTTTGGTACAGGCCACACTGGTGACGCGCATTCTAGCCCCTCCACTCTAACGTATCTTCCTTCTTGAAGTTTGGTCCTTAATACTGTAGTCACTCCTTCACGTTCACTATATGGCACCAAATATTTTTTGTAAAATACTGGTCGACAATTGGGTTTTAATACTACTAATGCACTAAACCAAACAATACATGAACTGTCATCTTTACTAAATAAATACTGCAGGGTATTTCTTCTTTAGTTGTTCTATTAGGGGCCGTTCATATACTACGTAGTTCATTTTGGGGGGAGGGGGGGTTTCACCTTGCACTACGGTCGGTCACGGAGGGGGGGAGGGGGGGTAGGCGCTGGTCACGTAGTATTCATCAAATTCCCGTTTTGCACCACCAAAACACCGCGTCGTTCGTTACCTCTAATTCGTTCAAGGGCCCCCCTTTCGACTAAAATTTTGTCCGTTTGGGAGTTAGAGTGGGTTTTCG